GGAACATTGATACTCGTTCAGAGTAATTTTGAATTGGAAGGCGTAAATTTCGTTAGGTATTGTTTGTATTTCCATTTATTATATATTAATAGACCATTTTCCCCTAGAATTATTGTGTTTTATATTCAAATTTGGGAAGTGCGTCCGACGTACGTCTATTGGAATCGAATTGAACTGCCACGATAGAAAATCCAATTACAATTCCACATTCTCTTCAAAATGATTCGGGATGAGGAACAAGTACCATCGAACTGGAAAGAAGGATACTTCATCAAAATACCAAGGAAAGGCGATTTCAGCAACGACAGGGGCATCACTCTTCCCTCAATACCAGGAAACGTATTCAACAGGATACTATTAAACAGAATAGAGGACTTTGTAGACGCTCAACTTCGAGACCAACAGGCTGGATTTGGTAAGGATGGATCATTTACCGACCAAATTGCAACACTATGGATCATTGTGGAACAATCAGTTGAACGGAACTTACCGCTCTTCAACAGTTTGATTGACTATGAGAAAGCATTTGATAGTGTGGACAGGACAACACTATGGAGGCTTCTTCGACACTATGGCGTGCCTGAGAAAATAGTCAACATCATACGGAATTCTTATGATGGATTTAACTGCAAAATCGTACACGAAGGACAGCTAACAGTCTGTTTCAAGGTGAAGACCGGTGTCAGGCAAGGTTGCTTACTATCACTCTTTCTCTTCACCTTGGTGATCGACTGGATTAGGAGGACGTTGACATCTGTAGGTAAACACGGTATCCGATCGGCAACCAGTGTAGCAGCAGTCTCGGCAGCAGTATGTCTCTACATACGTACAGGGAAAAGCAAGATGCGCCACAACATGCGCCAACCAAGTCACTCTTCATGGACACGCCTTTGAGGATTTTAACACCTTTATATATCTCGGCAGTATCATCGACAACTAAGGTGGATCCGATCCAGATGTGAGTGCGTGGATCGGCAAAGCAAGGGCTGCATTTCTACAGTTGATATATATCTGGAACTCCAAAAACTATCGATCAACATCAAGATCAGGATTTTCAATACAAATGTCAAAACTGTTCTACTGTATGGGGTGGAAATGTGGAGAACTATGAAAGCCATCGTTCAGAAGGTAGAAGTATTTATTAACCGTTAACTACACAAAATACTTTGGATCCGTTGACCAGACACCATCAACAACAACCTACTGTGGGAGAAAACAAACCAGATTCCAGTGTAGGACGAAATCAGGAAGTAGCGGTGGAAGTGGATTGGACACACACTGCATAAGCACCCGACTGAGTCACAAGAATAATCCTCACTTGGAACCCTCAAGGTAAAAGGAAAAGAGGAAGGCCAAGTAACACATTACGTCGAGAACTAGAGAAAGATATGAGAAAGAGCAAAAATCGGACAGAACTGGAGAGAGGAGCCCAGGACAGAGCAGATTGGAGAATACTGCTCGGAAGTCCATGCCCTATTAGTGGTAGCAGGCGTAAGTAACTAGAAGTTAGTAGGTATAGTGTTATAGGGATTGTTATTTTACAAAGAGATCTTGAATCAATCATTAGTAGACCACCACTAAGTGACGGTCCCAAAAAAATTTTAAAACAATTTTAAAATCATAAAAGCATCAAATCGCCGTGCTTTCTTAGTATATTCTGTAGATCTACATAATTTTGAGCATTTCAGTTATTTTGAACCGCCTCTTTTTATGCAAACAATTGCCTATAAGTGATCTTAATTGTGACTGGCCTTCATTCACCTACATAAGCACAGGCGTACAGTTAGTGCTTTAATACATAAAAAGAATGTTCTGAGTACTCAGAACTTTGTTTTATCCAAAAATGTCTCCATAGCCACGACTCAGCATTAAACATGAATATTTCGTGCTCTGCTCCTCCCCCTATCTCTTTCTTTTTTTGAGCACCTCATCCTACTTCGTAAATATTAGCCCCGATGGTTGCCAAGGACTTGGTTGCTTTTCCCAGAAGCCTGTCAAATTATTATCCGGCGAATCTCAACAGAAAGATCATTACACATTTACCTCATCAACTCTTGTGACCTACAGATCTAGATTTAACTTTCATTGATTATTAACCAGCAAGGGTTTTTCTCAGTGCGGACGACAGAACTCGTGACAATTGTTGTACTGTACATTCTGCGGTCTGGGACATTTACAGTCATTTGTGAGAAATATTATTTATTTGCGCCCGTTATCCCTAGTGGACCATAAGCCATCGGCCAACTTTTTCCAACCTACTCTGTCCCAGGCCTTTCTTTCCATTTGTTTCCAGCTGTTGTAAATGTTTGCCTCCATATAAGTCCTAAATCGTCCTATCTCCGCTCTGAAGCAGCAACAGGATCCAAGCTCGAGTGAAGCTTAAATGCTCGACGCAAGATTGGCAACCCCTTCCAAAGAAGCCGACTAAAGCCGTTCAACAAGCACTCAACCAGCCACTCTGTCCTGGGCCCTCCTTTCCAGTTCTACCCAACTGCTGCCCATTCCTTCCATACCTGTCTCCATTCGTCGGTGTATTGCATTCCTCAGCCTCCTCCTTTTATCTTGACCTCGAGAAATCCAAGTGATGACTTGACTTGTGGCGCAGCTAAGTGCTTCTTCCTGACTTTTTCCTCCGCTGGAATCTGGTTTGTTCTCTCCCACAGTAGGTTGTTGCTGGTAGTGTCTAGACGACGGATCCGAATTATTTTACGTAGACAACTGCGTACCTTGTAAAAAATGATCTAACTTAACTTTTTAAATGTGTTAGCACTTCTCAACATTTTGATCTTGCCAGTAAACTGGCACACTTGATGCAACACATTGGTATTTCAGAAAAAACTCTTATTACTGTTACTGTTGTCAAGACTTGCCAGCCAAAGGTGAGCTGTTTTTGTAAGTGGTTTTCTTTTCCTTTTTGTTCCAGATTTTCTGTTCATTTTGTAATGTTAAATCAAAACTTCTTAGAGGAGTGATGGTCTTGTTCAGGCCTTCACCTACGACTTCGGAGTCCTAACCTCCAAATTCCAGGGGTAGTTGTTTGTTACTAAGGTGCTTTTCTTTCACGTTTCGAGGCCGGGTATCGGCCTCCTACTGTGACTACACTCACTACATCGGCTTATTCTTTACTGTCAATGCTCGGATCAATTTCTCACTGATCAAAGCCAGAAGGCCGATCACTTCCTGGATGAGTTGATTGTTACTCAATCAACAAGAAAAACAGATCAATGGTAGTAAGGTTTCGAACATCATTTGGTTGCTATGCGTCTCAACTGGGTAATCATCTTGTAGGAGAAGCTGTTTTTCACACCACATTACCTTCCATTATCCACAGGAACGAAACAATTGGGCTGTCCATGTTATTAAGCACTACATGCCATTATAAACAGATTTATGAGTGAAAAACTTTGGTAAAATCTAGAAGATTCTTAATGTGACGAGAATCAGTTAAAAACAAAGTACCACAAAACAATTCCTAAACAATTCAGACCTTTAACTAAAAAAATTCAAGTCAAAGTAGACCAATTATGCCTTGATCTAAAAATAAATTCATAGAAGTACAATTAATTCGCAAATATGAAAATCACAATTTTAGTCAGACTGTAGGATTACCTATTATTTGCTGGTTGCAAAACCCTAGATTTATCAAACAGCTGAGATGGTTCCGGAGAATTACCAGAAGTTCTTCAGGAAGAAACTTCACACGTTCTTAAGGACTCAGAACAGTACTTCATTATAATTTACGACGATTTTTCCTTCGCTCGTTAAATATACCTAGATTCCCACCTGGGGTTATTATTGATCAACTGGTACTAAAGATGGAAGTCTGATGAGTGAGAGTTTCTTCGACTTCATCCACAACCATTTGGAAAGTCTGAACAAACTGAATTTGCGAAAGCCTTCTACACAGTACCCTAGAAAAGATTTTGGAAGTGGACCCTATTGATTCACTTCTATTTTGGCTAAAACAAAATTTCCGTACCGGATTAAATATAGTGCAGTCTTGCTGGTGAGCTTTAACGTGAACGAGAGAATAATCTTAGGTCCACTTCTCATCCTGATATTCACCACTGTTTCGTTAGATAAAATTAGCTCAGCTGCACTAATCTATGCAGATGATTCAAATATCTGAAGGTCCGTAAGAGGTGAAAAGGAATCACTGGAGTTTCAGAATGACCTTATGGCAATAGAGGAATGGGGTGTGGACAACGGGCTGAAACCTAACCAATCTAGATGTTATGTTATGAACATTTCGCCCCATGCGATACAAGCAACTCGTGTCTTCGATAGGAGTCCGCTCACTAATGTATCACCAGAGTGCGATTTCAGTCTAGTAACCAAAGAGATCCGGTGCATTGACATGCAGCTGAATAGCTGATAGGGTTAAAGAATAAACTTTATGAGGACCGACACAACACTTGGGATTATTCCCGTTGAGATGTGGGGGAATCGGAAGTGATTCGATAATGGCCTACAACATAATAAGTATTCCAACTCATTTTGAGGCAGGCATCATAGCAGTAAACAACTACCACACCCCTAACTGTAACCCCGGAAAAATCACACATTAAAGACTAAAACCTAGGTATGCTTTCAAGTTTGCTCTGCAAGACACTTGAACCAGCTGTGTATGATGTATGTCTCGAAACTCGCTTGTTATTATAATTCTCATTTCCTCAGACAAATTACTTTTTCTGTCTAGCTTATTATCCTTGTTTTCTCTTCTTTGCATAAACTTCTGTTCTTTCACACAGCTTTCACCACCTATTAATCGACTTATTTATTTACTTTTAAAATCTTCTCCTTCGCATTAGAATTTTATTTTTGGTATTATCCACATTGTAATTAACTGGTCTTCACCTTGGTAATGTGATATCTGCTAGTATCCAGAGAACTTACTGCTCTGAGACAAACGCAATCACTCAAATCACTGAACATACAAATTTATAAAAAACTTTCAGATGACGAGAATTAGTGAGGTCGAGTTGCTGAACTACCATCCAATGAACATGACCATATACCTGGAACTGTACCTAAAGAACAAGAACCGAAAGCAAAGAAATTAATTAGTTTTCGCCAGCTCGTGAAAATATATTGGATATCGAACATTTAAAGGTCGAAGCAAGTTTCGAATGCATTGCGAAAGTTTTGTTGGTCTCCGCTTGACAGATGGAGGAAAGTCTTTTTGGATCATCGCCGGTGGATCTATTTCCACGAGCCCTCCCTAAAAAACCTTCAGAGAAATCTGGTCCAAGACAGCAAAGAAAGCTGTCTGTGAGAGAGATAAAAATCCAGCGATCTGAAGATGGCGTCATGTACGCAGCACGTACGAGTCATTCTCATGCTAAGGTATGAGCGATTTCATGTTTATCAAAACATACTTGCTATACCTGTGCTCTCGCTCGTTTCTTTCTGCTCAGCTTTTCATCGTCAATACTAACAATACTTTAAATCATATACTTTAAGATATTAACCCTCAGATAGGAAACTGCTATTTGGTCGAATGCTTATGCGTCCGATCAATAGAGTAAGAATGTTTTTTCTAGACACTAATTTAAAATAATCATAACTTGTGGTAGTCACATACCATCGTAATCTTATAGCATTATCTGGGAAGTAATTTATTTGAGTTTGTTAGTTTTTGTGTCTGGTTAACAAAACATCAAAAAAAAAGCAGCTTATCTTCCAATTCTTTCTCCGAACCAAGAGTGCTCAATTAATGCACGTTTGAAAGTCTAATTATCTCAAGTGCACATATTTTGTTGGGGGGTAAAGGAGAAATTTCATTGCCCACTTAGTCTTTAAGATTATGCTCTAGAAATAATATTTTTATGTTGTTTTCGGACCCTTAAATATGCGAGATCAATATCACCGACTTTAAAATTTAAGCAAGGAGCATGTGGTACTCTTGTAACCTACCTGTTTTGTCGTACGTATAGCGGATGAGATGTTTCATGGACTTAGTCATTGTTATAAGTGTTGTCAAAACTGTAAACTCCACACATATTTTCTTACGAATTATGAATAAAATACAATTTCCTACAAACATTTCATTCATACCATCTTTGAGCTCCAGATTGTTTTATCTCTATATGCTTCAAACTCCCATTTGGTTTAATACTTTATTAACTCAGCAGGTCATCCCAACGATGATTATATTACCAACACTAATAGTTACGCGTAACTTTCGCCTAATATGATGCTATTACTTGTCAACTACTTGTATCACTTGACATTTACATCTGATTCCTACAGCTTAACGTGGATCAACCAACAAGAAAGTCTAGCTAAAATTATGCAAAGTCTTTATCAATACTCACGTTTCAGAGATCTATGTTCAACATTCAAGTAAAGTACTGCTAATTAGTTTCCAGTCAATCGATTCGAATATCATGTTACATGTAGTGTACAATTTTGAGTAAGAGATAGAGATGTGGCATGCAACGCGCTTCGGTTATATTCGCCTACCTTTGAACGGGTTGAAGTTCCGATAGAATCGTCTCACCAACTGATTCTCAACAAAGTGTGTTCAACAGATATTACGGTATTGAATGCCTAAGCACAGAGGATAATGTTTCGGGTAGTTGGAGGCCGGATAACGGAGACTGTATTACGCAGCATTCTTGAGATTATAACTTATTGTTTGTGACTGGTGTTAACTTTCGTTATGGCTGTGATCTTCGGTTTCTGACGCCATTTCTTTGGAATTCTCGCCTGAATTTCATTGAAACTACGGCTTGAATGTTTATAGTATTACGGTTCTTTTTGGTATGTCTGTTTAAATTCTGATCATGGTTAATTATGCGCCAAACTTACCTTAGGTCTTGGTAGTTAGTAAATTTGTTGATCGAAACTGATTGACGTAAGAAGTCGTCTGAACCTGTATTTACAAAACAGTAAACCAATTTCGCTTTAGAGCTACTTATCGATCAGTCCAAAAGCGTATCTGAATACTGTTTACATGTACAAAAAGCTGTAAACTTGAAAAAGTAACTACTCTGTAGTGTTATTTTTATAAACGTAAGGTTTCTGTAGGTCCCCTAAAATGCCTTAATAGGTATTGCTCCATTCTGGCAGACTGTGATTGCAAAAATGGACCTTGGCATTATTATTTAAGGCATTTCGTTCTTGAAGAGCGTATTTTCAGGACTTTGGGGGCCGACATTTTGTGATTTGTCTGAGGGCACTTTGCACTGAGTTCTGAAATATTGAGATTAGTTTTCGGACACTTGGTATAGTTAGTTTCTGTTGACATTTGTAAAATAAAGTTGACTCGTCAAGGTACATTACATGTTGGTGATTATAACAAATCTAATCTTTTAGTATCACCAGTGTAATCGTCCATATGTTGTTAGTTCAATTTAAATTTTCATCATTCTTATTTACTTCGTTTTAGAATAGTATCGGGTTTAAAATTTTTTTAATCAAACGTTTTATAGAAGTCATTAATGATGTGTTAGGGATTTTTCTGTTAATTACAACCGTATATTAAGTAAAATAGCTTTACCGAGAATATGTATGTCTTTTTGTCTTGCTGTAAGTTGTATTTTGTTTCGATGATATTTCATATGTAATCCAAAGTTACTGTTTATTAAATCAGTACTAAACTACACACTCTCATTCTTAATTATTATTTTATGAATAAGTATTTCTTTTATTTAAGTTATGAATGGCATTCATAACTTAACTAAATATCTCACGAATATCTGCCAAAAATAAAATCATAAGCATAAAATGTGTTTGTGTTATACAAATACACTGGCGATATGTTGTTCAATTACTGGCCAATAAAGGGATCAAATGAAATGAACTGTTTATCAATATTGTTTTATAGTCCCACTTTTTTCTCATAACTGTTGTTACAGATTAAACTATTTAAGTAGTGGTTTTTACTTAAGCTTGAACTTGGAGTGCAAAAAGTTTTACAAAATAGTAAGTGCCCAAACTAATAGTGTAATAACTATTTCTTGTAATCCAAAAACTAGGCATTATGGAAGACAGCCTTCAGTTTAATTTCTTCTCGTGGTGACCCATGGGAAAAATTTCACTTGCAAGAACTTCCAGAAGAAATAGCAAAGCGTTATCGTTACAACGCCATTAAAGGCAAGTGGGTAGAAGACATTGTACGCATAAAAATCGAGAATACACCATTTAATCGAGGTGCTATGAGAGAATGTTTTCGTGCGTAAGTTTATATTTGTTTTAATGATTTTTGATGGATTGGATAAGTATTATCCGAAAGTGTTTGGGTGAATTTTTTCTCGGAAAGTAATCTTATGTATTTAGTATGGACCTTCTGTCACTTTAGTCACATTTTCTAGGTTAGCTGCAGTCGTTTCGATGGTTTATTGCCCCTTGAAACATTCATAAATAAAAAAAACTTAGTTGACAATATCACTGTAGTTAATTTCGGGTGTTTGGAATCTATTGACCAGCGATGTTGTATGTACTGTCAAAATGCTGGGAGAATTAGGCGTTCACGTGCAAAACCGAAGGTCCTGGGTTCGAATCCCGTGAGTAGCAATAGTCATGGATGCTCACTGCTGATGAGTCCCATACCAGGACGAAGCGGCCATCCAGTTTTTCCAGGTTCCTAATGGTGGTCTAAAAATGATTAATTGATCATTTCAATGTATAAAAACACTGATCTCCATAACTCTAATTGAAAAAAGGAAATAATGTATCCCAATTAAGCTACTGATAAGCGCTTAAACACTCGCTTAAGGCAATTATAGAATGTGATATGTATGTATGTAGTCTAAAGGATACTGGAGATATGTGTGAATGTTAACCTTTGACTACTGCATCATTTCCATAGCTGCATTGAAGGCATAGGAAACACTAACGAGAAGCTAACTTGCTTTAGTTCTGGTCTTAGATTCGTTATTCCTATATTAACCATCAACCAAATGTTATAGTTCCATCACACTTATTGCGAGCTAAAAATCGTTATATTTCTTGACGTCAGACTTATCTTAGACTTGTTGGAAAGGACTGTGATCTGATTATTTTGAAGGGTGTGCCCAAGAAGTTGATCAACATATTGAGTGCATACATGCACTTATCTCCAGATTGTTCTATTCCAGCAGCGAATTCACGTCTGACTACCCAATTTTATCATTCCTGTTTGACTTTACCGTCCACATGTTAGCAGTTACTTGCCATATGTAAAACATGTACGTTTAACCTTGGAAATGCTAAGCACGTTTATAATACTGACAGAAGCCGATGAACAATTAGAAGTAATCTAAAACATCATCCATTTTCTTAGTTGTGTGGGTGCTTGTGGTAGCGTGAGTGATAGGATCAATCTACATATCATGAAAACTAGAGCGGGTTATGCTAGTCTAGAGTACATTTGATGCCTTCGTCTTAAAAGGCCGAGCTTACAATACGTTAGTGGGTGCAGGTTCGGTGTGTGTCTGTGAAACCTAACCTCTCAGGTGATCATGTTAGGCGACTCCTTGTATTCAATCATTACTGTCTTCCAAGGGTTGCGGGGATCCAGTTGCGGCAACACCATACTAATAATTCTGAGGTTCATCAATGTGGTCTGGCGCAGTGACAATAACCCATATGGTGTCACTATACGGAAACATTGGCTTAGGTGACTTGGGTACTTATTAACAATGATATCCCAACGACTTTCATATCGTTCTTTATTTGCAGACGCTAATACTAGGTGCTGAAAAAGGGGAGGTAGTCAGTTTAAGTCATGTAAGGTGTAAAGAACTGGCATTTGTTGGTCCATCGAAACTCTCTGGCTGACATCTTGCAAATGGTGTAACTCAGTGGTTTAAAAGGTTACTAGATATTGCTTAGAATAGAAGAAAATGGCGATCGTGTCGTAGTTTTCTTCTACATTCAAAAAGATAGAAAGTATTTTCTTAACTGGAAAATTCTTCTCAATTTAATCTTTTATCATAACTGTCTTTTCCATTATTCATTACTCTCGTTCACTTAATTCTATTCATTTACTATTTTTGATTATACTCGCCTTCCTTCCTTCTTTCCTTTCTTTCTTTATCTCTTTATAATCTCATTTCATTCATGTGCTTAACTGTACCACCAATATTGATGTGTTCTAACTAAAATTAAATAAATAAAATCTGTTAATAATTTCCATTTTTGGGGCAAAGTTTTGGAGGTTTGTGTTTTTACACATTTGAAATCATCAATCAATCATTGTTAGACCACCATTAGAAACCTGGAAGCACTGGACGACCGTTTCGTCCTGGTATGGGACTCATCAGCAGTGCGTATCCAAAGACAAATGGGTGAGGTCGCGCAAAATCCCTAGATCAATCAGAGTTAGACATTAACACCGTCGGATGCCGGCCCAGTGGTCCGATGGTAAGGCGTTCGCCCACAATGCCAAAGGTCCCGGGTTCGAGTCCTGCGAGGAGCAGGAGTCGTGGATGCGCACTGCCGATGAGTCCCATACCAGGACGAAACGGCCGTCCAGTGCTTCCAGGTTTCTAATAGTGGTCTAACAATGATTGATTGATGATTTCAAATTTCCATTTTATTATATCTATAATTAATTATTATACAAGTTCTGATTTTATTTGTGTAACTGCAATCTTTTGTTTTTGTTTATTTCATGTTATATATAATTTTGAATGAAATATTTTCATTTTTTACAGAAAGAAATTGTCTAATTTTTCACATTGCTCTGAATGGTCCCATGCATCCAATCATGTTGCTAAACGTTATATTGATAAGGTTGACGCTCATGTGTATTTCGATGATGTTCGTTTACAAATGGATGCTAAACTTTGGGGTGAAGAGTTTAGTCGTCAACCATCTGTACCAAAAAAGGTATTCATTCCTTTTTTTTCTTTTTTGATATTCTGCAATAATTGTATTTATTGTTTTCTAGAGTTTATGTGTACAGGTTGTTCACACGACTTAAATATAAGCTATCAGTATGATGTTATTTAGACTTTAGAACGTCACTAAAATCGTGAACTGATAAAGGTTAAAAAAGACCATTGAAAACCTGGAATCATTAAACGGCCTTTTCGTCTTAGTGTTGGACTACTCATTAGTGAGCATCGATGACCCTGTAACCGGGAATCAAATCCAGAACCTTCGCTCCCGCAGGCTAACGCTTAACCTATAGACTGCCGAGCCGGAGGTCCTACGTTTGAATCCTAGTTAGTTACAGGGTCGTCAATGCGTGTTGATGAAGTCCCATACTAGAATAAGATGGTAGTCCAATGCTTCCAGGTTTTCAGTGGTTCTCTAACGTAGCTAGGTTCGTGATCTCAATGACTATAAGTTGTTGAAAGTGAGTAATCATGTGGCTGTTGCATTCCTTCTATTAAGTTTATGTACAAAGAAGGTTAATAGTTATCGCCATCATACTATTTTACTTCTGAATGGGAACAAGATACAATCAACTCATGTATGGAACGGAATCATGAAGTAGAAGGGTCTTTGTGACTAGTGAAAAACCTCAGGGGTAAGTCTAAGTAATGGTAGCAAGTACGTAGGTCAAAACTTCAAAGTTTAAAGGAAGTGTCCTACGTGAATAGTAGTTAACTATATTTTAGGTAAACTTAACACTTTGGTAAACTGGGACATTGATGAAATATCTGACTGCCAACTGCTTCTGTATTACAGCTGCACGTAGTAAAATATATTTGAGCTTATGTTATTGTCTGTTTCCAGTGAAACTGGAGACGTTGGCAGAAGATATGAGGAGATTTGCTTCCTAGTTGTTACATGTCCATCCATTTTCTGGCGTTAGTTCACTTAGAGTTTAAAGTCGAGCCTCCGTAAAGTGTTATGATTGTGGTACTCTTTGGTTATGCGTGGAAAGTCAATCGGGGCAACATAGTTTTTATGCTACATTACACTCTTATCTTCAACAGGTCTCCAAAATAAAAACCCTACAAGCAGCTAAAAGTAAAGGGATTCGGGGAATAAAATCGGTTAGATATATGATTATACTTTAAACGAAATGGATATTCGCAAAACTTCATTGATAAATGTGAAAACTGAGAGTGGTATTACATTTACCAAAAACTCGTCTTTATTCGTCTCATTTGTGAACAAGATCAATATTCAGTGACAATCAGTAGAGAAGGTTAAATACTACATCAAATGGCTAAATTGGTTATTTTGCATACAGAAAAAATAGAGTCACGAGTCTGACAGAGGCTTAAGAGCCCACATTTAAAATGTCTGAAGACGTTCACCACTGTGATTTCCGGTAATCTGATCCATACAGACAAGTACTTTGATGTCCAGTCAGAAGTAGTGACTAATGAAATCGTAACCGGTGATTAGAAACTTTGAATGACATGACTTAAAATCGTTCGCGATGGCGCAGATGCATCCACTCTTTGTGTTCTCTCAAATTTTAATCTTCTGAATTCCTCATCACCTCAAGCTTTCTCTTTGTAAATTTGTTTCACTGAATTACACTTCTTGAATAATATCTTCGAACCGTAATCTCTCCGATTACTGCTAATACTTCTACTCCCTCTATTACTATAGAATTTGAACTGACAATTGCATCTCTCTGTGCTAATGTGGTATTGGCAACTTGAACATATGTACGTACGTACAAAGGTGTACGTTGTAACTGACTGACTTAGCTTATTTAAGCTTGTTCTTTCTAGATTAGAAACCTGTTCCATCCCTAGTTTAAGCTTTCACACAAAATAATATAGTTCAAAGTGAAATACAAACTTTTTATCAATTATATTTCTTTCGTTTGACATTTTCTTTACATCGATTAGGTTGATATTGCACAAATGTGCGTTTTGGAGTTTATTGATCGACCTGAGAAACCTTTATATCACTTGGAGCATTTTATCGAAGGAACTTATCGAAAATATAATTCAAATTCAGGATTTGTAGATGATTTATCACGAAACACTCCTCAGGTGAATAATTACTGGTCTATTTTCTTAGTTTTTCTATTCGTTTTTTTTCTTTTGCATTTCGAAAAGAAGTGAACATGTAAAATGCTACTGTTATTATTATTATTTGTGTGCATATATGTGTTGACTTATTTGTAATGCTGTTTACATAAAAAGGGCAAGAAAATTCATACTGTCTCAAAAAGGTTGTAATTAGTTTGCAATCTTAATTTCAACATCCTAGTATGGTTTATATTGTAATGCTTTTTAAGGAAGCGTAACCAATCGTTGCTACTACTAGCTTGATATGGTGGTAGGGCTTGCCTATTGTGATGATCCAGCCGAGCTATATTGGCTGGAACATATGTTCCTTTAGGTCCGACAATGCCACACAAGTCGATCGGAGAACGGTAGGACTAAAAGCAGTAACTTAGCGTCTGAGGACGAAGTCGTACTGCTGACTGTAGAGCAGTGTGATAGTAGTAAGTGTTTTATTTCGGACAACCAGCATCTGCAGCGATGCTGCCTTCTCACAAGGAAGGAAGGGGTTGGAAAAGGTCGACCCTAGAAATGTCACATCTCACTTTACCTCACGGATTTCCGTCTCCGGCGGTAATGTCCCTTTTAAACAAGAACGTAGCTAACGCCTCAAAAATATCCCATAAAAAAGCCGTACGTTGTCGGCCTCAAGCATTTGTCCCTCGGACACTGTAGTCACACTCTGAGACCAGCGCTAATCCAACTTGATTTTCAGATTCCTTAAGAAGTGCCCTCACAGGTTGTGGACAACCGGGAAATGATATCCGCCCCTCATACCCGTAATAGCACACGCGACCAACTTGGTCACAATCAAATCATTAGGTGACAGCTATTGTAAAACAACTGTTCAAATTTGTTTTTGATAGAATAGTAATTCCAGTAGTGAAAATCGATTGTGTCACTTACTAAGCATAAGAATAAATTACATGAAAGTAAATCAACACTCATATAAGATCGTATAATTATAAATGGTAGATTAATAAAGAGTTTGAGAACTAGAGGTAATCAATAATGATGAATAGAAAATGGTGAATTCATACAAATTATTGAAATGAGTAAATCTACAGTTTAGTATCATGTCGACATTTAAACAAAAGGTCTGATTATCATTTCGATACATAATCCTGTGTATGATCACCAGATTGCGTCCTAATAATAATAATACTACTACTACTACTGTGGTGCGAGCTACTTATAAGTAGTATATGACGTGAGTGTCAACGTAATGTCTGGCAGCAGAAGACGGGGGAAGATCAAGAAAGGAAGAGTTAGAACACAATGGAATTTGTATGAAACGCATGAATAATGACATTGGATTGATGTTTTGCAACAGGAACAGTCCAGTTCGATATGATGAACTGATATTTTGCAAATTAACGATTTACGATATGGTTTTCCAATTTTACTGAGTAACTCTGTAATTTTCGTTAAATTCAATTCGGTTGCCCCACCTGTGTTCTCGTTCACTACACTACTACCACTACTACTACTACTGTAGTGAATGAGAACACAGGTGGGGCAACCGAATTGTATTTAGCGAAAATTACAGAGTTACTCAGTAAAATCGGAAAACCATATCGTAAATCGTTCATTTGCAAAAGATCAGTTCATCCTATGGAACTGGACTGTTCCTGTTGCAAAACATCACTCCATTGTCACTATTCATGCGTTTCATGCAAATTCCATTGTTTTCTAACTCTTCCTTTCTTGATCTTCCCCCCATATTATGCTACCAGACTTTACGTTGACACTCACGTCATATACTACTTATAAGTAGTTCGCACCACAGCACCACACTACTACTACTACTAATAATAATAATAATAAATTTCGTAAATAAATTTCCATTTCTTCCATGTTCATATGTTTTTTCTTTTTCGTTTTACATTCAATTCTAGGCTTTTAGTCATTTCACATTTGAACGTAGTGGTCATCGTTTAATTGTTGTTGATATACAAGGTGTTGGTAATCTATGGACTGATCCACAAATTCATACATTCAATAGTAAATCTTATGGGGATGGAAATTTAGGTATTCGTGGAATGGCATTATTTTTCTATACACATCGATGTAATCCATTATGTTTAGCATTAGCATTAAGCGCATTTGATTTACCAATGAATGATAAACTATCTGTACCATTTAGTCAATTATCTATGAAAGAGAACGATAATCAAATTGAAGAAGATTCAAATGCAATCAGTAGTAATAATAATAATAATAATGTGAGTTGAAACATAAAATTATATTTTTTCTAGGTAATTTTCATTCTGATTGGTTATTTTTCTTTAGATCTTAAATTTTAGAATTACAATGAAATCGTGAACCGGTCATTTTTAGACAACCATTAGAAACATGCAAGCACTGGGCGGCCGTTTCGTCTTAGTGTGGGACTCAACAACAGTGCATATCTACAATCCCCCGCTCGCGGTAATCGAACCCTCCGTGTTGGCGTGCAAACACCTAACCTGTAAACCACTGAGTTGGCATCAAACAGTGTTATATGACCATGACCTACCATTGTCTTTGGTAGGCAATTAATTGCCTCACACTCAGATTGATCAGAATTGGACATTAACACTGTTGGATGCCAGCCTTATTGTCCAGAAGTTAGGCGTTCGCGCACAAGGCCGAAGGTCTTCAGTTCGAATCCTTTGAGGTGCATGAGTCGTGGATGCACACAGCTGATGAGTCCCATACAAGCATGAAACAGTCGTTTCTCAATGCTTCTATGTTTCTAATGGTGATCTTGTAGTGCCTCCACATAAACTTGAGTTCACTCATATTTAATTTGATTTGTGCCTTTCGATTAACTTATGTAACCACGCTATTTGTATAGCAACAACCCAAAGAGTTGGCTAAAAAGCCTTTTCCAGTTCATGTTGCTTCATTCGTCTTATTCACTACTTCTCCGCTTCACTTTGTGGTGTGTCCCGAATAAACGTATTCATCACTACAAATTTATAAACCGTCAGACGTTATTTGGCAACGATTGTCTGAACGAGTTAATTACCGAGCTTAAGAACACGCAATAAACAGACACACTACAATCTAACAATGATTGACTGATGTTTTCAACATTAGTATTATTATTATTACATTAACTTAATTATAAATTAACTATTTATCTAACTGCCTGTGTATACAATCAGATGGAATTCAGTGGTACAATAGCTATTCCAGCTTCTCGTCGTAATCGATATGGTGTTCGTCGTTTAATTTCTGAAAATTATGATTCAAATAATATGACTACTGAAATTAGCGGGGATTTTGTAAATCCAGTTGATTTTACCGAATCTCATAGTGTACCATCGCCTAAATTACCATTTCTACCTTTAACATCTCCAGTGTTACATCGAAATGATGATTACATGTCAAATAATGATCAAATAATCAATAATCATCATCATAATACTACTACAAATGGCATTGTTACGCATGATAAATACAATATCAAATATAATTCTACTACTTCTACTACTTCTAATAATACTACTGATAATACTACTGATAATAATAATAACAATGCATATACTCGTAATAATCATTCCACAGATGATTTAATATTTGGTCCAATGTCATTGCATAATAATTCATATGATTCCGGTATAAGTTTCAATGATTCATCCTATGGTGGTGGTAGTGGTGGTGCTGGTGGTACTAATCATGTATTGAAAACACAACAAAGTATGCTTAGTGATACTGATTGTAATACAGATTTAAATCAGTCCAATGATGGTCATTTGCATTCTTCTTGTGAACATTCACAACAACATTGTAAAGTAGTAGTAGTAGATCAATTGAATTCTCAAGTCAATTCTAATGATAGTTCACAACAGCTTTGTAAAGTAAGTTCTTCTTTGTTTTATATTTTTCAATTGTTTCTTGTCATTTGTGGACATCTATTACTTTTAGTTGTATTAGTATTATGAGGAAACTTTTTAACATGTTGTTTTTAACTGTTATCCTAGTAGTATACATAGTTATTGTTGTAACGCTTGCTTGAATGATTTCCCAGCTAAATCCTATTGCTTAGTATTTATTCTCTGACCACACAATACACTGGACAAGTTGCCAAGAATCAAAAACACAGTTGAACAGGAAAAGATTATATTCCAAATAGCAAGGTTAAATGAAAATAAGAAGCCAGAAGAGGTGATGGCGAAGGCATAAATAGATACAACGTTAGTTTATTTATAGCATTTACATGAGAAGCTTCTGGATAGAAATTCACGTGATCGACTGGATTAGATTTAACCAATCAGCATGCAGCTAACAATACGAGAATTTTCTATCCTGTTCTCCAAGAATCGATCAGGCGCTGATTGGATAGGAAATTAGCCAATCAGCGCGTAGCAGCGTAGTCATGCTTTAATTCAATCTATGTGCCACTAACAGTTATAGTTAAAACTGTTTTGTTATGAGATATCTCAATAGAGATGTTGAGAATGTTAGATTCCTCTAGAAATCACTTGGAAAAAGTCTTAATTATGTAATTTATTTCTGAAATTCCGAATTTTGTTGTTTTCGTGCCAAAGACACTTATTTTGACCTTCAGCTTGCATTTCTCACTCGGGAAATGTAGGATTTAATTTGTCCTACAGATGTACTACTAGAATCGTAAAAGCAATATTGGCGAGTACATAGTCTATGGGATAGCTATGGTGAGAACAAGGACAACTTGGCCTCAAACGTTATCTGTTTCTAAACGTACAATAACTAAAGAATACAGCTATTAATTGAAACGAGCAAGCATACCGATCAATATGGTGTGTCTTATCGAAATGAATAAAATTATGCGTCACATTTAATATAATAGGATAATAATGTCTTTCAATTGGTAGGTCGTATGCAATACAGTTAGTTTACAGACACATCAGACCAGATCACTTGATGAGCTCCAGATTAATGTCTAGAATGCTTGTTTTTAAGGGAAGTGGAACAAATTTAGAAAGCTCGGCTAGATTTTCCCAGCTGGATCACTTATAGTGTAAACAACTAAAAGGCCATGAATACTGCACAGCAGTTTTCTCCTTTCTACTTTATAGATGTTCGACATAGTCTTTAGCAAGAGTACAATAGTAGACTACAAGTATTTGATGATCATCGATTCCTCCAAGGCCATGCTGACATATCTTGAAACCACTGTGTCAACAATAATGAGATTAGGTACAGTACTAGGTAAAGATGACAAATTGATTGACGAAGCAGTTAATCTTAACTAAGTGAGATGGTTAGGACATCTTTTGTCTACGTCCAACCACCTGCCTAGACCTGCTATGTTTGATGGTCCAGGAGTAGTGTTAGCAAAGTACTAAGAATGACCAAACTGAGATGTGACAGTCGTTGTTTTAGCTTTATTCAAAGTAATTAACTGTTGAAATTGAGTCATATAGAGGTTGGTACAGTTTATCAGGTTGGGGTCCTCTCGATTATCATAACTTCAATAATCAGAGATGTTGAATGACGTGACTCAAGATCGTTTGCGATGACACACGTGCATTCGTTCTTTGCCTTTCCTTAAATACTGAGTTTGAAAATTATCTAATAATTGCTTCTACGAATTCATATTGTCTATGCCTCATATTCATTACTACTGCAAGTACTCTTACTACATCTATTACTCTAGTATATCATCATAATGATAAAGTGTGACAACTTAAACCGATAGACATGTGTCAGGCTTTAAATTGACGGAAACGGCTGGTATATTTGCTACTGTTTTGGTTATGCAGAGTTCCTGTTAAAGCTGTTGCCACTGTTTCAGTCAATTTATCAACGTGTATTTTACGAATGTATCTGTGTTATCCCCATAACACTCAAATATCTCAAACTTTTGAATCTTTGCAACGAATCGAATAGTTTATTGTATGCGTTTTCTCTTGCATTATAGTAGTCTATCTTCCTCACAAGATTTAAACAATTATTTTTATTTTATACTTATCTTCGCTTATAATATCTCAGTTAGTCATTTACAACTTAGAACTTCGTACGTGCGTACATAAGTTCAGGTTGCCATCTCATATTAGCACAGAGATGTAATTGTCAGTTCAAATCCCATAATGGTAGAGATAGTAGAAGTATTAGCAGTAATGGAGAAGATCAGGATTCGAAGATATGATTCGAAAAGTATAATTCAGTGAGATAACTTTAGAAAGAGAAAGATAGAGATGATGAGGAATTCAGAAGGTTAGAATTTGAGAGAACACAAAGAGTGGATGCGCCTGCGCCATTGCAAACGGTTTTGAGCCATGTCGATTAAGGTCTATAACCATCGATTACTATAATCTCGCGGGTCTCAACCTGGTAGTCTACATCTATCAACATGACTCAGTCCACTTGTCAGTGACTTCATGGTTTTCTGCCATGTTTTGGTCTGGCCACCCTTAGCTTTCTTCCAACCTACTTCTACACCACAAAACATCACTCTTCGTGGCAGTTGGTGGTTAGCCATACGTAACACATGTCCCAACCACCTCAATTGATGAAGTTTCACTACTTCATCTAATGTCAATTATTTTTACTTTAAATATATACTTGTAATATCTTGTAATATCTTGATAGTTAAGCAATAAATAAAACTAGATTGATATGTTTATTTCTCATAAACAAACCTATTTGACCAAGATATTTTTTTTTAGAATTTGTTTTGTTGTTGTTGTTCTCGTCATTTCACATGGTCTTATACTATTTATTGATTACTCTGATAAATATGTATGTGCATTCATTCATTCATCAACCTCCACATAGACAATACACAAAGAGTGTGCAAAATATTAAAATGTCATTTTAAATTGTCTATATTTCATGGTTGTTTATAGTTTTATGTCTACAATTCATAATGATTGAAGTGATATAGAATGTTTGCATATAATGAATGACATAATAGTAGGCATTGTTGATCAAGCTTTGTCCAGTAACAGTTCACAATTATCAATAGTTTTATAATTTTTGATATGATGGAGAAAGTTATTATTAATTCAGTTGGATGATTGATTGTAGTGTGAGTTTATTCTTTGAACTGGATGTTTTCTACCGGGAGTTTGTTCTGATGAACAATATTCAGAAGAACAATGAACTTCGTACGTACGTACGTACGTACGTACATCATTTCAAGTTGACATACCACATTAGCGCAGAGATACAATTGCCAAATTCAAATCCTTTCGTAGTAAAGGTAGTTGAAGTATTAGCAGTAATCGAAGAGATTCGGGTTTAAGATATTATTCAAGAAGTAGAATTCAATGAGATAACTTCAGTAAGAGAAAGATCAAGGTGATGAAGAATTCAGGTTAGAATTTGCGAGAGCATAAAGAGTGGATGCACCTGCACCAATGCAAACAGTCAGTCAGTCAGATGCAACCAGGTAGTCGACAATTACCGACATGGCTAAGTTCACTCGTCAATGACTTTATGGATTTGTGCCATGTTTTGGTACATCCAGCTCTGAGAGAACGAAACACCACCACAATAATTTATCTCATTTAAATCGTTGTAAACATATAATTACGAATGAATTCAACATCCATTCATTATTTTCAGTGTTTTAAATTCGAATATTATGCTTACCTGTTGCGATTAATAAGACTCAAATCGTTAGCATTAGCGGCGCAACGTGATAAAAAATATACGAAAAGGGTTATTCGTGGAGACAGAGGAGTTATCAAGAGATGGGGCGAAGGATTCGATAGTGAGCAAGTTGATTTCGTGTGCTATTAAGGGTATAAGTGCGAGTCAACCAATGGACAGTCGGTATAGTTTGTTAATAAGACTTCAGTAGTAAGAAATTTCTTGGTCTGTTTTTTTTTGTCATTTAGAAATACAAAAAAAATAATTCAAGGATTATTTTGATATTTGATATGATTTAGATATCATAGATACCATGATATTAATTTGTTCATACCTGTCGATTAATCCTTAGGTTGGTTGTATTCAGTCGATCAAGTTGTGATGTGGGGAGATAAGAGAGGTATTTTAAAGGGTGTAGGAAGGATTTGATTTTGACCAATTTGGTCTCGCGTGCTGTTACGGGTATGAGAGCGGTTGTCACTTCCCGTCTGCCCAAACCCGTGGAAGGTTGTTTCTTGAGGGACCTGAAAGGGAAGATAGATTAGTGTTGGTCTTAGAGACCCGGGTGCATGACCACAGAGCCCAGGGAATAACTGCTTGATGCCGGTCACGCACGGCCTTTTTATGAAGGGTTTTTGAGTATTAGCTCCGCTCTTGAAAGCCCTTAGTGGGCACCCTTACCGCCGGAGACGGAAATCCGTGAGGTAGGGTGAGGTGTGACATTTTTAGGGTCGACCTTTTCTTACCGCTCCTTCCTTGTGATAAGGCAACATCGCTGCAGATGCTGGTTGTCCGAGGGAAACACCTTACTGCTGTCACACCCCTCTGCAGTCAGCAGCACCACTTCGCCCTCAGACCTTGAGTAGCTGCTTTTAGTCTCGTCGTTCTCCAATCGACCTGCCTGGCATTGTAGAACCTTTAGAAACATATGTTCCAGCCAGTGTAGCTCGGTTGGGTCATGACGACAGGCAAGCCCGACCACTACGTCAAGGTAGCGGCTACGGTCGGGATTGTCTCGTGGACCCCAATCAACTTAAAAAGGATGACGTAGAATACAGGGGATTAGAATTTGAAAGCAGCCAAAGAATGGATGCATCTGCGTCATTTCAAACGGTTTTGAGCCATGTCATTTATTCAAACGAAAACTCCACAACCAGTAGATCTCGCTCAGAGGATGAAATTCTACTACAGTCTTTTAACCTTCTCAAATTGATAGGTTCTTTTAAACTGATTGGGTATTACGGACTTACAGTTTGTCTGGTTATGTTTGAATAATTGAAAAATTCCTAATTAATACATTTGATTATATCATACAAATTTCAAAGGATAATCATAATCAGATGATCTAAGCAAGCTATTTTGA